TTAAGGCCATTTCCAATTTTTAGTTGTGAGGAGCGGCTAATAACGTGGAACATTACGTCAATATGACGTTTCTTTCCTTTTTTTTTAAAAAATCACGGATACCTTAATTGACATTCATGTCAAATGTCGTGCAGATGTATTGACCAGTTAATGAGACACGCTTGCGTAGCTCTATCCCTTTAAAAGCAAAAAAGTAATCCTAAGAATGGTTTTTTGAGTTGAAAAAGCATGGCGAACTAATGCAAAGGGAAACGACGCGTTGCCGGAATGCAGACCCGCAAAAGATATCCTCCCATAATTCTAAGAAGTTCAAAAGTTCAAACAATCATCGCAATCTTAGACAAGCAAACTTACTGCTTTTTGATCACCGTAGGGCATCAGTTTATTTTTGGGAGCACGCGCCTAGCATAGCGCGCTACAGACAGACGGACATGTACACACTGAGCTAGAATATCACATTGATCAAAAGAAAATTTATTTTTCGATAGATTTCCGCTACAACTTTCGGGGAATTACTTGCCTCCCTCCCGGTCAAATAATGGGACTAACGACATTAAGGACAGACCTGACTGAACCAACTTGTATTGATTGTTGATATTGTAATTATATTATAGCATGTGTAACAAAATGACTAAATTCATTCATATTGCACAAATTTGCTGAGCACGCTTTGAAGGAGGGGTAATAATAATGCAATAGATATAAAAACTCAATATATATTATTATCTTTCGATCTATGACAAGCGTGTTATAGAATAGAACTTCGGCTAATTAGAGAAATTATTGCGAATATTCCTGCACACAATTGCTGTTTTAGACAAACTATAGTGACCACACCCTCAGCAAAGTAAAGTCGCAGTTAACGTTACCGAATAAAAAATTGCAGCCCAATAAAAAAAAAAAAAACAAAAAAAACAAAGAAATAAAAAAAAAATGATAAAATCATTAAATGCAATAAAATGCTTATAGGTTTTTTTTCTCAACAATAAACTATAAATAGTTAGGGGGCTTTTCAGTTTTCCAACACGCAATCTCTTGAATGGCAAATACTTTTTACTAATTTTTTAAATGGCAGAGAGATGGATATCTGTTCTCGGAACAATTTAACAGTGGAAAATTTCACGTAAATGAAACGCCATAAATGTTGAGACCTTGAAGGAAGGAACTATTAAAAGAAAATGTTAACTCACCGTGCGTGTGCGCGTAAGCCAGATGCACACACATCATTCTTCATTAAAAGTCACACCAGATAATCTCTGTTAACATTCACCTGATAAATTTATAAACACCTTTGATAAGCGATTATCACCCCAGTGAGTTTTATCAAAGGGAGTCTGGAACTCTTTCGAGTTTTTACCTAATGTGGGCGTAACTGTCGAAGAGTGTGCATCCATTTTTAAAATGACTTTGTATAAATCAAATTGTAAACCTCAAGCAAGTATGTCGGCAGACATATTTGCCGCTGCATCAATTTCCTGGCTTGAATAGTAAATTCGTTTATAGATGATAAATATAATACTGACACTCTACACAACTTGTGCACTTATATAAGTGCACATAATGTTAAGTTTACGTGGATTTATCCAGCACCCAGAAGGACTGGCGTTAGACTTACCTTTATCTGTCCGTCGGTCTGTTTGGTTTTCTTTTGTTCAATTGCGGCCGACAGGCCGCAATTTTCGAGACATATTGCAATGAAATTTCATACTCTAAGGGATTTTCACCCTACGTTATTGAAAATGATCTGCATCGAACCACTTTTCCAACCACCTCCCAAAAAACGCCTTAAATTGAAAAATCGTTACATCAATATCTGTAGAGTGATTTAAAGTACTATAGTGGTTTTCGTAGTTTTTTTTTTTTTTTTTTGCAAACTTTACTCAACAATTAGAACGAACGGGAATATTTGCAGAGGGAAATTATGCTTGATGTTCATTATTTTTCGAAGCTTTCATCCAATATAAAATGCAAACTTGTATGAACACATTGACATGCACACATATACATGTTGATTATTACCGATGAAAGGCGGAAGTGCATGTCAGAGCATGTGTACCAAAACACATATAAAAATATATGCTAATTATATAAAAAGAAAACAAGTAAGAAAAATACATTCACCTTAAAGCGAATTTTCGGTACCGAGAGTCGGAGGTCAGCATATGAGGAGAATTACGGTTTATTTTCATTTTATATGTTTAGAACTATTTTTACTTGAAACGTTTGCAAAGCTCTATTAAATAGTTCGTCCAATCCTTTTATTGATATATTTTTTAGATCGGAACTTATATGTAAAAGTGAATTGAAAATACGCGTTGCGAAAGGTAAAGAGGGGGAACTAAGCATCAAAAACTAAGCCAGATATATACATATATACTTGTAAATATTCGTAATTTGAGCGTAAAATGCTAAGTCAATATGCCCCCGCGCCACTCGCCTTAAGTCTCGAACTCTCTGCTGTCAGTTTTAAGAACGCTTAAGCAGTCAAAGGGTTGAGCTATTCTTGGCCATAACTATTGATGTAGAATATTGACATGAGATCTCGTAAAAATACTTATTGACTTCAACTAAAAGCGCAACAAATTAGCTGTCACGCCCAAATTTAAGAAAAGTGTGAAAGTCTCAACATATTTTGACTTGAGAGGATGAGCGCGCATCAAGGCTTCGCATTAAGAAAAGAACATTTTTTCTTACTTTCCTTACCTCCGTTTAACTCGACTATTATAACCTTATTCTCGATTAGCGAAGAAGTACAGGGGAGGGACGGGCGCAGCTTTAACTATCTCTAAATATGTTTCCAATCAAGAATTGATGAAATTTCGGACGCTTACTTACTACACAAGGAACAATAAAATTATTCTGAATCTATATTTATCGGCGGCGTGTAAAAAAAACTTCAAAGAAGAGAAGATAAGCAAATATTGAAATTGAAATTGTAACATGTTCCCAATGTGAATAAAATTAAATAATGTTAAGTAAAAAAAACTCGCATCAACTTTGTTTTGTTTTCGTTTGAAATGTTTCAATGGTAATTATTACGGTTGTTTACCTACATGTTTACGGAATTGGATATATAAATATGAGTGAATGCATTTTAGCAAAAAAAAAAATACATTATCGTACCTCGTGTTCCTTTTTGCTACAAATAACGGTATTCATGTGCTAATGTGTTTCGAAAATTTACATACAACGATACGGCTCAGAAACAATTCCCTTTCGACGCATTCGCTGAATATTATAACAGTCTACGACATATCGGCGTCATATCATGCTTCAATTAATAGATATTCAATAATCACATTTCGAACTTACCCATCCACATCTACCGTCGATTTAAACGATCTTTTGGTTGGACAACAACCTACGCTCTTACTTTGAGCAAAGATTAAAGACGAAAATGCGAACGCATCATCTACATCACATCTGTGAAAGACATAGCATACCACCTACAACTGTGTTTCTGCGAATATTATCAGTGAGCGAGCATTTTCAATGCCAATTTTGAATTGCCCAAGCTCATCCATTTATAATAAATGTACTGATGCACGTAGAATATCTTCACGAGCGAACTGCATGTCCTTTCACTTTACGATGAATTCATTACACACAAAAGTACATTTATACTCGACAGTAATACATATTGAAATTTCTAAGCCTTTCTTTGGAGACCTTTTCTTTTCACATTTCGGGGAAAAAATTCACTTTGCCAAAACGTTTGCAACATTCAAAAGAGAATTCCAGAGATGCCATAAAGTATATATATATATATATATATATATATTCTTGATCGACATCAAATTTCGAATCGATTTGAAGCCCACGCCTACAATGAGAACACAAAACCTAGAAGCAAGCTTTAAAAGCCCCATAAAATGTATAAATTCTTGGCCAGTTTCAAATCCGAAATGCGCCTGAGCATGTCCGTCTGCCTGTCAGGCTTACATTGTAATCTATGTGATAGACATTCTTCCCTTCCCAAACTCGAAATTATCGCCTACAAATTTGCAAAAAAAATTTGAAAGTGATCCAAACCGATCACAGGACACGCTTACAGCGGCCACACTGAACACTTCTCGTTTCCTTTTTTCCGATAACAAGCGCTCATAAAGTGCAACACGTACACATAGTTCTTTTGGTTTTTTTTTTTTTTAGCCTTTTTTAGGAAAACTCTGGTGGGTGTAAAAGATCCGGCCCCGATCGAATACAATTTTTGTACTTATTACCTTTTGGGAGGAAATATAAACAATTGCAAACTTCTTCCTCCACACAACGTTCTTTTTTTGAGGAGCTATGATGAAAATGTTCAAATCCAATCTATTTTCAATAGCATTTACATCGAAATTTTATCCGAATCTGACAAAGACAGACATATAGATAGACATGCTTAAATCGATTTAGAATCATTTTCTGAAACGATTGACGTAATCGCATTGGATGCCGTATAAAAAAAGTAGGTCTACCTTAGGTACTGTTTAACATCTTTTTGCCATAAGTGGTTGCGGTTCTCGGAATATTCCTAGAGGAAAAGAACCAGTAATCAAGAAACAATCATACATTTAGATTGTAAGATTAGTATACAAAATAGTTCACAGTACAGAGCAACGGCCACGTACATGATTAGAAGCAGACCAAAATCTTGACATGAGCCTTTCACTGCATAAATGGATTAAGTCAACTTTTTGAAAAATCTTAATTGTAACCGAAAACAAATGCTCTCTTTCTCCCTCCCACCTTCTCTCTCTCTCTCTCTCTTTCTCTCCCTCTCTCTTTGCTTCCATCCAACTGTTGCAGTAAACTAAATGCTAGCTTTGTTTTTTAAGGATAATGTCGTTGCTGCCGCTTTGCAAGAAGAAATACAAAGGGCTTTGCATTGCTATCACTTTTGTTGCTCATGTGGAATATTTGCATATTAAAAACAAAAAAAAAAAAAAGAAAACAAAAACTCCTAATCTTTTAGGAAAATATTATCGAGCAAACAATTATTTATGATTGGTATTTACTTCAATTGTTACCGACGATTGTGTATCGTCGCCGTTGGCTTTAACCTCCATTCGTTCCAAGCTATAAACTTTTTCTTTCATTTTGTTTTTTTTTTTTTTTTCTTTTTGGCTTTTTAATACAATATTTGTTTAACTTATAATAATTAATTTATTGTTGTTAATTTAACTTTTTTTTTTTTGTTTATTCATTTATTTATTTTTGTTTTTTTGCATGTGAAATAAGTTTATGACCTTTTTTATGTTATATTTAATGTTTTATTTAATAATGATTCATGTTTTATATTGTGTTTTTATTTTGTGTTAAACTTTGAATTAAATGAAATTGAACGGAAACACGAACAATTTGTTAAAAGCGAACACGAGCGCGCATTTCACGATACGTACACTTAGAAGGTTTAAAAGGTACTACAAGCTGTTTGATCCAACATCAGTAATTAAATAATATTATAACACAATATCACAAAAACAAAAACAACTGAAACTAAACAAAATTGGCAAAATATTAAATTCAAGAGAATTAGCAACGAAACAATAATTTATTTGCCATAATAATTAGTGTGCGGTAGAAGATGTTCAACACTTCGTGTGCAACACTGCCATAGTCATATCGCATTCGATCGGGGAGCTTCTAAGCCGCTTTGATACCTTCATCCAATAATTGAATTCGTTTCGATAATTATCGTAAAAGGTTCAGCTAAAGATTGGAAAACAAAACAAAAAACTTACCTTTCTTTGTTTTTTCCCCTTTTTTTTTTTTTGCTCCTTCTTACGAAAGACATTAAGTTGCAAAATTGTAAAATATATACAAAAGATGCTTAAAATTTATCCAAATTTTGCATCCATCTGATGTTACGTTTAAATTTCTTCAGATTGTGTACAGAATTTTTTTTATTAGTTTTTCAGAAGCATGGTTAATACATAGGAGTGCGTTAATACAGCAAGGGGCATTTATATAGATAGCACTGATATGATATTTATTAAAAAGAAAATATATATATATATATGTATGCAAAAATCTACTTCAAGTTTATTACAATACAACAAGTAAAAATATTGCAGCTGGACAAAGCCCACCATTAAGTAATACCTTACATCACCCTAAAGTTATTCATATGACGACTTTTCAAAATGACGCCATTTATAGGAAGGGGGAGAAAAAGTGACCCATCCTTAAGCCAAAATATGTTAGTGCATACCAAATTTCATCAAAATATCTGAAAATTGCGGTCGCTAGGAGGTTGAACACAAGAATACAAGACGGACAGGCGGACAGACACGCTTAAATCAACACAGAAACAAAAGATGGGTCTATCTCAAGTCCTTCTGGGTGCTACTGCTCAAACTTAATATACCGTTTTTCACAACTGGGGTGGGGGATAAGCGTAATTTCACAAAAATTATTATTTAATTCTGCTGGAAATGACAGGAAACGCGTAGCAACAAATTTTGAGAAAGTATATCACATACATGCCCAAGGCATATAGATGATAGGTATCACACTAATAAAGCACCACATCTCGAATGTTTAATGAGCAAAGGCGGCTAGCTGATTTTTAATTCTTAGTATAGTTGACCTTAATTTTTTTCCAGGTAATGAACTTTGTACTATTTATGTGTCCAAAAAATCTTTATAGTTGTGCGACTTGTCTGCCAGATAAATCTTTTACTTTTACTTCCAAATATATTATAAATAAAGTTAAAATATTACAATAATGATACTGTGTGTGTACTATGTGCTATTTATGTGTACATGCTTGTATATATATGCATCTCACAAAGTAAGTTATATTTGTCAACGGTATATAAGGTATTGCAACAAGCACTGAAGTCTAAATGCAAGACAGATTCCTGATCAGCGCCATATTTATGTGCCTATCCGTCGGCGTATCTATCAGTCCATCCGTCTGTCTGTACGCTTGTCATAACTTTGTGTAGAAAAATCATCGCTCCTTCTATCACTGTCGCCAAATTATCGGGGCACGGAATCTTTCATTTTATCAATTACAAAAAATAAAATAAAAGTTTATGTAGATAAATATGTAAAGAGAAAGGGTCGTCCATTTAAAACTAACACTTGAAACTCGTACCAGTTTGCAGTACGTGCATTAACACTAGATTTAACGAAACCCGTCAATTTGACGAAGCTGAACTTTTGCGACGATATTCCTTGACCAATTAGAAATACGAAAGCAGGATATGTATTAGGAGCATTTTTGGACTTAAAATTTTATCGTTAATTGTCGACGTGCGGTTTACTATCGCATAGCAGCTTTTTGAAAATATGTTCAAGGGACCGAGAGTTATAAATGGAAATTTTGAAAAAATATGTCGGTATTTTCCGAAGTTACCTCACTTTCTTCTATATTGTGACCGTATATGAGAACAGATCATGTCCATTGTTTAACTTCATATTTCTAATTGATCAAGGAATACTCGAGCCAGAATCCACTTGCTGCGTGCAAACCAGTATTCAAAAGACGAATACTACGTCAAGTAGACCGTCGTAGTAAGTGTAGAGTCGAGCTAAACCATTTCCTATCTGTTTGATGAGTATACATAAAATAGTGCAGTTCGACTTTAACCGAACATAATATTTTAATTGCACTCTATTCAGTTATTTTATTATTAAGACCAAGAAGTACGCATAAAAACATCATTGTGTATATAATTGTTAAGTATGAGACGCCGATGCTATTCAGCCAGATCCGCATCTAACTAGATCAATCGGTCTACTATATTCATTGCGTTTCAGCACAAAGATACAACTAAAATATTAGAATACATTAATGTTTTCATAATATATGTGACACAGAATAATTTTTAAACTTGATATCAAAACGCTTCTGGCGCTATTAGTCTTTAGACCAGAGGACATAAGTTCACTCAAACGTGCGCACAATATTGTTTTTCGATCTTTGAATAGTAGACTTTGAAAACTTTCAGATTTAAACAGGGACTCGAGATCATAATCTAGGAAACGGATAATCCTTGGACTTATTTAGCGGACTTAAGAAGTCTACATTTGAGAAAAATTTTGTTTGTCGACACAAGGTTTTAAAGTGCCGATATTAGATAAACTGACATGTTTTAATTTAAGAACGCGAAATGAAGAGAAAATGAATTGCGGATTGGAAGAACAAAGTTCTTATATATAGAGAGAAATTTTTCACTTGTATAATCGTGATGACGAGGAAATTCTGAATTGATGTAGTCGTATGTGTTTGCGTTGTGTTTGCTGTTGGCATTCTCCTGATCGCTTAAATGAAGATATCGATTGGAAGTGCTTGCACGCAGGTTGGTATTGAAAATGGGCCAAATTGATCAGAGTACATGTCTGCAAGGGAGGATAAACTGAACGCAACTCCATTTTTCTTAACAGAAAATTTATAGGCTTTTTGCTCGTTGCTCAGAAATTATAAAAGCTACAAGGCCGAAATTTTCCACATTTACTACACTACACATTTACTATACCCTTTACGTGTAAAAATGGGAAAATCGGCTCTGCCCATACAAAGTGAAAGGCGATTAAATTCCCATTCTTTCACATTTTTAAGGTTTTATGCCTACTTATCATAACGCAAACAGGGCAGACTGTTTACAATTATTTTGCACAATCCTCAAATGAAGATATACTATCTGCGCAAAAATAGGTTAATTCGAAAATGACTATGATAAACACCACGACGTGGTGGATTAATTTTTTCTTAATAATACTAGTGATATGGGTATCAAATAAAAGAACTGAACGAGTAGAATGCGAAAAGCATAGCGTTGGGTATGCAAGATTTGGCGCCCGCCGAATATAACTTTCCTACTCATTTTTGGGATTTGCCAACACTTTACCGTACAAAAAAAGCGGCATATTCAAACCATGCGGAAATTTTGACCTACACAATATAACTTTTCTCACAAAAAAGAAATCTTTATATAGTGGCAAGATTTAATTTTTAATTTTTATGATAAAAACTTATAGAAAAATACTATGATAAGGTTGGAGTACATCGATTCTATTTTTGAAATACCTCTCCAAAATATAATTATTGTTGCTGTTTTACGGCGAAAATATGTGAAGAATTTACGTACTAGGCGAAGTGATATCAGGTTTGCCTGTCTATAACATTTTAACACTTATTTTGAAATGTGTTGATAAAAAATACAACAAAAACAAACCGGAAATTTAATTGCAAGACAATGGCTTACAGCGGTGCTTAAATAGTTGATTGAATCTGATTAGAAGCATGTGTAGAGAGAGAAAGTAATATGACTGTGGTAAGGACCCGAGATCGATTCATCGAATTCTAATGCTCCTATTCCCTTACCTTAACTTAACCCGCTTCATACGAATGTTGCAAACGCAATCTGTAATAAATTTGTGCACTTCCGAAAACCTTCAATTGTTATGCAGTAGAAAAGGTAAAAAATACCCTATCATAAATTAACGTGAATTGCAAGCGTTATTAGCAAAATTCACAACACTTTGTAGCTGAAATGAGTTTTTTTTTTCTCTCTTTTTTTTTTTTAATTAATTTTAATAATAAGAAGCACATTTAATTGACAGTTTAACTGCATGAAAGATATACGAGAGATATTGTGTGAGGATTCTGAAACTTTCTCATTCCAGATTTCCGATAAATGAAATTTGTGGTTGAGGCATAATAAATGACAGATAAAATATAATGAACGATGATGAGTATGATGAACAATGATATGATAGGAAATATGTAGTCAACACAATCAAGTTATACCGAATTCGTCAAAGCGTAGGACTTTATGCATGATATTAAGTAAAAGTTCCTAGAACGAATTATATAATATTTCTTATCGGAGTCTATAACATCAAGATGAGCATCAATATTAGCCAATGTTTCGGCACGTCTTAAATGTTAGAAATTTATCTTTCAGAGGCGTATAAAAGTCGTTAAAATTACATTAAGCTATTATTTATAACAATTTCTAATCCCAGATATAATCGAACTGAGATTTTGGCATGCATTGTTCGCTTACATATGTTTCTATATTATGCACAAAAAAAAATGGTCGGCTCATAAACCTTTGTAAAATATCCAGCCAAGTTGCAAACGATGGTCGACAATATTCCGGCTTATAAACTATGAAGAAAATACATTTGTCATTGAAGAACTTGCTGCCTATTCTCCACGAAGACTATTTTACTATGCAACACGCAGAAGGACGTGAGATAGTCTCATTTTTTATTTAACTGATCGTTTCTAATTTGATTTAAGTGTATCTGTCTGCCTCTCTGTCTGTCTGTCTGTCTGTCTGTCCGTCCGTCTGGTATTCTTGTGTTCGACCGACAGGCCGCAAATTTTGGTACACCGACATGTTTCGGCCCAAAGACGAACGCTATTGAAATTGGTTAGGATCGAGTCAATTGTTTTTTTTTTTTTTGGCCATTCCCTATATAAAGAGTTATTTTATTTATGAATAACTAACTATATTAAACCAACTGATGTAGGGTATTTAATGACGGTTGGGGTCCCACTATAGTGTTTTCATTTCTTCTATTCTTCGATTTATATCGCATTGCAAGATTTAAGCGCCTTCGAACAGAGAGCAATTAAGGTTTTCTAAAAATTTGTACAAACTTTATACACGTTATACGTTATAAACTAAAAATATTACTTAATTCATGTTCCACTAAAAGATCATCACTTTCATGACTTTCATGACTCCATCTGTATCTGTATTTAAGATAGTTGTTATTTATTTACTTGTTTCTGAATAATCTAAATATTTTAAAATATTGCTGTATTTAGTTAATTAGTTAAGCGGGAAAAAAGTCATTCAAATGCTTATTTTTTTGTAGTCACATGCTTTACTTCGTTATTACAGTCAAGTAAAGTGGATTTTCCTTAAAATAGTGTGACTATAAAATAGTTGCATGCTCGTATCATATCGTCGGTTTATGAAGACGAAAAAAATGATAGACGAAGCGAATACCAAGTGCCAAGTCGGGATGCATCTGTAACTGGTACGGAATTAAAATCAATAAGCATTCATCCTCAAGTAATGTTAAATCTGCATACCAGCATGAATGTACCTTGATATCATGGAATCACTAGATGCGTAGCATAGCGCACCACCCCACTCAATAACAAACAATAAAGTTCTGGATACTAACTAATAGCAAATATTAGTTGGTAATGTATGAATAAAAGTTGGCGAGGATTGAAAAATGCGTACATGTTCTCACTAATGACAGCTAAAAGCGGATTTGAAGCCATAAGATTACAGGGCGTTTCTAGGTCCTAGCTAAAATCAAAATTTAACGCATTTTTCAGAAGAATGATTAGTAGATCGACGAAATTTTAACACATTTAACTGCTTTATTACTAGAATGGGAGAACATTTATAATTATCACCTTTATCGGATTTAATGAAAATGAAAATATTAACTTTTTAAGATAGTTTTACATATGAACTAATATACAAGTATATATATACAAATGTAAATATGTCCTTACCAAAATTTGTATCTGCCCATATCTAATCAATACCGAAATGAAAATTACAAACATAATAATGAGAGTTCAAATCAACGAATAGACGCCGAAGTTAACAGCTTTTATTGAAACATGTCATCTCTACCCGCGCACAGCATTCGATTTTCTTAGGATATTTATATATAATATCGCCAGTGTTCGTACGCTACAAAATGGGCAAATGACAAGAAACACCATCCGCGCTCGCCACCACTCATGGCAGTTGCCCACGTCTCCGTCGCACAGATTGGGGATCTCTGTATTAATAAAGAAAAACGGTACTAATTTCCCAGTAACACTACTAAGCATTAGCTGCTTACTAGAACTAAGTATCAATGCGAAGTTGTGCAAAATAGTACGAGTACCGCTATTTAATTAGTATTTTGCACTTAGTACCGGTTTATTGTCGAATGTGCTTGCCGCCGACAATTACTTTTGTAAACAATTAGATTTTAATTCTCTCATTTGTTATATCTTACACAACTTGTGATATGAGGATACGTCAAGCTTGTGCAATACCCGGGCGGATTGAGATGAATCCGATAACGATCGTTTTAGAGTTAATTTCCGACTTGATTCAAGCGTGTCTGTTCGTCTGTCTGTTGTGTTTTCTACATATTTTAACACAAGAACGAATGCTATTGAAAATAATAATATATATATATATAACAACAATACCATTTTTTACCATTTTTGGTTTATTTTCATGCCATTGTCAGATGCTATCGTTAGTGCCTGCTAGCACTTAGTCGATTGTTCGTCCGCACTTAGTCACATCCGAGATTTGCCTTTCGATAATAATATATAAGAAAATTGTTTGCAAGACTCCAGGAAGGAGATAGAGATAAAGGGTTGGTAGCCGCAGGCTAATGTCACGTCATTACCTACGCACGAACAAAGTAAACTCTGGCATATTGGAGATTTGAACCGGCGAACATTGTCTTGGTAGTCGCGATTCTTACGTATTGATGCATCTATATTTAAGCGTTTGATGACACGTATAAATGCATTATCGCCTAACAATTCGCCGTGAAATGAAAGGAAATTCTAGAAAACATCAACTTAAGCCGAGCTTCTGGTCGTGCTTCTGCTCTCGCTCCTGCTACTACTATTATATTTCCAAATGATGCACAAGAAAAGTTTAAAAAACACATTGGCTAACGAATTTAATAAATTTTATTAGTTATTTTTATTCTGATAAATATTTTTTATTTATTTATTAATAATATTATTTATGAATAAATTTAATAAAATTTAAACTATGATCTTTCTTTTATACTTGAATGCAACTTCTATTCTTCAGGAAGGAAATCAGGCGAAATTTTTAAGGACTTAACGAGCAGAGGAAAGGAGATTATTATTATTATTGTTGTTGTTGTTTCATTTTATGGCTGCCTTTTGTTTTTAATAATTTCTTTTGCATTAGCACTATTAAAATATTTGATTCATATTTATTTTCCCCCGGCTGAGTGAAGCTCCTCATAGGAAAAAGCCAAAGGTATTTTTTTGTCGAAATATAAGAAATACACGTCTTTATATAATTTACGATTGCAGCTATTCGTAGCGAGTTCTCATATATGCAAGAAATACATATGTGCATGTACATATATATATAAATTTCTTATGAAGCGATCTCGCCAGCTCCGGCGTTTGCCCGAGCTAACACAAATAACACAAATCGGATTTTAGGTGTGTTTATGCTTTTGTCGTTCCTATCAAATATCAACAATTTTAACTACATTTAAATCAAAGACAAAATGTAAAGGAAACTATACCTTGATGTAATCACGGTTGTTATCGAGGCAGCACTCGGGTTGTTTGGGAAGTGAAGTACATAAATTCAAAACGTTTCAATTATGGATAACAATGACAAGATTTATTTTTCTCTTGGTCTTACTTTCTTAATTTTTTTTTCAACTTTTTCTTTTTTTTTTTTTTTTTTTTTTTTTTTAAAAAAAAAAAAAATTATTTATGTGAGGTAATATTAAAAAAAAAAAAAAAAAAAAAAAGGTTGAAACAGAATGAAAGGGCGACAACAAAGAGAATATCGAAATTTTTTTTATGTTCTTGAATCAGTCAACTTTATAAAACATTTGTGTGTTTTTTTAGTTTTCCCTCTTGGGCGTTTTAAAATATCATTTAAACGAAGCGAAACAAAAGGAAATACTCAAATTAAAATTAATTAAGGATAAGAATTTATATAACGAATAATAAATGGGATGTAGTAGGTGAAAAGTTACGATCATTATATTCGATTAGCTTCTATGCCCACTTGCATACGTCCAGACATACACACACCCACACGCGCATACACATGCACACTAACACGCACATACACACACACATACATACACACGCACAGATAGAGATGGAGAGATAGAGATGGTGAGAGAGAGAGGGGGAGGAAAGGGAGAGAGACATCATATTTGTAGACCTATTCGCTTACGGTTAACATAATATTAAAATTTAATAGTAATGTTATTAATCATAGCTATTATAATAATAATAATAGTAAACATAGTAAATAATAGTAAAATGTAAATAAAAATTAGCCACTAAAATAATAATAAAAAAAAATTAAAAAACAAAAAATTAGAAAAGTTTTACACTAACGACGAGTTAATTTCACACCAGACGTTGTGATGAGTTCAAAATAAATATGAAGAATTTATTCTATTCAATATAAGAGAGTATGCGCTCAATTGATGATTTAACTTAGCATAATAAAATACTTAAAACTGCAATAAAAAAGAAAAAGTTACAGTATACAACAGATTGTGCAAAAATATAAAATGAATTTACTATTTAATCTAAGCATCACACATTCTAGAAGAGCACGGAGGCGTTCATCATTAATTACGACTTCAAATTATGGCTATGATGACTTGAACATCGTTTACTATTAATTTCATATAATAGCTGTTCATTTCAC